TGCATTTATATAGCGCATTTCCACAAAGAAGTGCTCAATGCGCTGTACAATAATACAAAGAACATATTATGAAGCGCACACCTCCTATAGTAATCCTCTCTCTCTCTCTCTCTCTCTCTCTCTCTCTCTCTCTCTCTCTCTCTCTCCAGTACACCCTTGAGTAAAGACAATCCCGCAAAGCTTACCCAGACACCCTCGCACACATTGATGAATTCAAACAGTCATAAATTCTTACAGAACAGAACAGCATGAATAAACGATACTGAGAGAACATAATAGATACTGAGAGAACATAATAATATTTGTATTGGGAATGTCGGAAATTACAGATTGCTGGACTGAAACAAATGCGTTTTAAGTGCTGATTTAAATTTATAACATCTTGGAAACTGCAGCATAAAACAAATTAATTATTATGCCTTCAGAAATATTTTTTGTTTTACTTTTGGTAGAATTGTTGTTCTTTTAAAATGATTCTGGGAATGTCACACCATTTCCTCGTGTGAGTGTCAGGTTATTTGAAAAGATGACATGATGGCTACACGAGATCCCATGGGAATATACAGGCTAAGCCAAGTAAATGCAAAGAATGGAAATAATATTTCTACAAGTATAATAGTACAGCTGTTTGCTCATTTGTGAGGGATTGAGGGAACGGTTATCACAAGGAACGTATGGACGCTCCTGAAGAGGGATGGGGCAGGGTCATGGAAGTAAGCTGAAAAGGACAAAGAGATAGGGCAGGAATATGAGAATTAGACGAAAGACAACATAAAGAGAGAAGGGGGAAGGAGATAGGCAGAGGAAGATAGATAGATAGATAGATAGAGAGAGAGAGAGAGAGAGAGAGAGAGAGAGAGAGAGAGAGAGAAAGAGAAAGAGAGAGAGAGAGGTAAAGAGAGAGGTAAAGAAAGAAAAAAAGTGCGAAACTGTATCGATTTTACGCCGCTGCAACAGTTAAAGATTATTTGAGAAGCAAGACCTTCAAAATTCACGCCCGTCTCCGACAGGACCGAGCCTACTGAGCAAAGTCATGCAAAGCGTCTTTGTCAAGAAAACAGCCGGTACTGTGCCTTGAACTCCTAAACCTGCAATTACGAGTCTGGTAGCTTAATCACTGGACCTGCATACGCTACTGAGAGGGAGAACGAGAGAAAGAGAGGGGGAGAGAGAGAGAGATAGACAGACAGACAGACAGACAGACAGACAGACAGACAGACAGACAGACAGACAGACAGACAGACAGACAGACAGACAGACAGAGACAGAGACAGAGGGAGAGCGAGAGAGAGAATGATAGAGAGAGAGAGAGAGAGAGAGAGAGAGAGAGAGAGAGAGAGAGAGAGAGACAGAGAGAGAGAGAGGTGGAGGGCGTACAAAAGACAGAAAAACGAAAAATATCACTTGTATCTATGCCTGGCCAGTGAATTTGGATTGCAATGGTACGCACGATGCATACATCACAGAAACAGTGAAAGTCACACACACACACACACACACACACACACACACACACACACACACACACACACACACACACACACATGTATATAATATATATATTTTATATATATATATATATATATATATATATATATATATATATATATATATATATATATATATAGTCACACAAGCACAGAGACAGAGACAGAGACTGAGACAGTGAGACAGAGGCACAGAGAGAGAGAGAGAGAGAGAGAGAGAGAGAGAGAGAGAGAGAGAGAGAGAGAGAGAGAGAAAGACAGAGAGAGAGAGAGAGAGAGAGAGAGAGAGAGAGAGAGAGAGAGAGAGAGAAAGACAGAGACAGAGACAGACACAGAGACAGACACAGAGACAGAGACAGAGAGAGTGCGAAGCACACACGCATGGGGCATGCATTTCGAAACAACTTGTTGACTCGTTTCGTCGTAATCGTAATCTGCTCCCAATCCCGTACCACCGACATGGCTGTCCACCATGCCTGACATTCCGCCCTCGAGTGCTAGTCATATCGTAGCCCCCAAACACAAACGGATACAGCCCTACTCCGGGTATCGACTAGTACTTGTCGCGGGCATTGACATGTGGAAACGGGATGAGTGCCATTAAGCCAAGCTCTCAACAGCCAAGCTGTGCTAGATCAAGATGTCTGAGCAAGCGGCATGAGGAGCATCTACATCCATCGAGCCCAGCGCTCAATGTCGCTTCTTTAGGAAAGTTGTACTTCACATGCTTATGCTTAGAAGAGCGAGAGGTGTGACAGAGGTTGGGGGGGGGGCTGCTTTGCTGTTGTATTGTTTTGTTTTTGTGTTAGAATTTTGCTTTCCAAGACACAGATAGATCATTTTGTAGGTAGCTTTCTTACTAGAATGATAAGATAAAGGAAAAGGGAAAGTATACGGCTGGTATAATGCTTAAAGCAACATTCAGACTAACAGATCATAGCATAGATTCTCTTGCATGTAATTCCACTCTTTAAAAAGTAGTACTTTTCCTACCGATGTAAATAATTTCAACTTGTTATGTGTTGTCTAAACAGGACCAATCTAAAAGGCAGATATTCGGTCATCTTTGCACACATTTTAACAAAACTTTAAACAAATTAAAGTCACCCTGAAGGACATTTAATCTGTCGTCATGAAGAAAATAGACTGAGGTATTCGAAAAATATCACTTTTTTTTCTTTAATTTCAACCAAAATTGAATATTTTTTTATGCCGGTGGTTTCTTACACCCTCATCAACACAATTCAGATCATTTAGAAGGCGGCTTCCGACCCTGTCTGTGGGGGCCAACCGCTGGCTGAAAAGGATACACCATAACAACAGAAAGACGGAAATACTCAATCGCTACACCTTAGACGCTGGTACCAAAATTGAGTAAAACTTAACAATTTCTTTTAAAAAATGAAACAACTACTGTGTGTATCTGTGCATTAAAGAACAAGGTAAAATAACATATCCTAACAAACTCAGAGAAGATAGTGGCTATTTAATGTGTTGACCATTTCTTCCCTGACAAGCTTGAATAATCATAGTGCTGGGCACTGTAAATAACCATGTTTCTTGCTTGATTCTTTTGACATCCTGTTTAACATTGAATGTAAATGTTTGATTGTTTGAGGGTGTCTCAAAAGATCCTGTCTTTCAAAGTCTCCTACAGGAAAATATTGCACTTTCAATGGTTGAATTGGTCAATTTATTAGTTTGTTTGTTTGTTTGTTTGCTTGCTTTAGGGGGAGTTTACAAACTGTCTTTGGCAATGTCAGTTTCTAAATGATTTCTCCTTCAATGTAGAAATATACGTACTTAAATAGGAAATTATAAAGTTTGGGCTTTACCAAAGATAGTATAAGACAAGATGGGCCACTTCTCTCTTTGAGCCAATTAAAAAAGTGTCCTCAAAATTTGGTGGCGCCCTCTTCACAAAAGCGCACTCTTTGCGAACAGAGTTATCCTACTTGAGTTTTACAAAATCAAAGTGAAACTAGCAAGTTTTGGGATAAATTTCGGAAGAACGCTTTTTAAAAATGGTTACGCTGACAAAAAACCTCTTCCGGAGGAAAAGGAGATGGTTTTCTTCGTTTAATTTGACTTTAGAATGAAGGGCGAGAGGTCATTAAAAATTTTTTTAAAAACCTTAAACTCCGCACTGAACGTACCCGAACTGCTGATGAACAGCAGTCGATCTGCGCACGCAAGGAGGTGCTATTCCTATTCTTCTTCTGGAAAAACGAAAGAGAGCTTCAAAACAGACTGCAGCGCCATCTGAAGCAAAGAGCATACTTCCTGCGGACACTTTTTAGGCTGAGTGGCCCATCTTGTCTTGTACTATCTTTGGCTTTACTTAACTTTAGTTGTTGGGTTAAAAACTTGATATTTTACGAACAAATTAATTGACAACTTTGAGGTCCTCTTGGTTGAGGTTTATTTGTTTACATATGTGTTGAAATTAGAGCAAGAATGACTGAGTTATTGCCCTTTTCATCGATCTTCATTTTCTTTTACATACTCAGTATACACCCCCCCCCCTCCCCCGTCTTCTTAACTGCAATTTATTTCCCCGTCGATATCCGACATCAACCCACTTGGGATTACAGGGGGGAGGGGGGCAGTTATATAATATTATTTTCTAAAATGGTTATTTGAAATTAGTTTATTCAAGGTTATACTGACCATTATTAATCCGCAGACGTTGATTCCACACGTCACAAAGATCTATCTTTACATGTTCATGTTTGGTATATACTTTAGTCTACCTTCTTGTCTTCCTTCTTGCTTCGTCCGTCATCTATACAAGTTTCACATTTCTAAAATGACCTTTGTGTGTTTGACGCAGCTTTAGAGCCATATTAACAAAAGGAGACGCGAACATTTATTGTTGAAAGTAGAAATGCAAAACGCTTCTGGGATCGACGGCTGAAAATTATTGTTCACAGTAAACTGCCAATCTAAGCCAAATGAAATATTGGACCAAGCTATTGTAACCACGGACAAGGCCATTGGCAGTCGGTATGCTATGTCATAAGAGCTAGTTTACTAGTTTTCTTCTCGTTTTCAAACTGTTAGCTTACACCTGGTAACGGTTTGTGTAGCCGTACTTTTTAAAGCACAGCTATTTCCAGAGGAATTGTACGTTTTAAGGTGACATTAGTAAAGTAGAGAAATTCATCATGTAACTCAGTATATTCATCTACACCGGTTTCGATTATATAATACATTTACATACTGTTAGTGTAGCTGCATTCTTAAAAGCACAACTATTTTCAGAAGAAAATACCAGGTCAATGTTTAACTGCCGAGGAGTTTTTTCTTAAAGAAACGAAAATCGCTGACATTGTTGTTATTTTTACATATAATTGATTTCATCGGCAGATTGATTCCTAGCCATTAGTTCAGCACTCCACAGGTAATTTTTTTTCATTTTTATCAAAGTTTGACAAGATTAATATCGAAAAAATGGCGCAGTATATAGAGAAGAATTGTCAATACTCATACAGAGAACAAATAAATTCTTACCTTCCAGCAGGTGATTTTTTGACGTACACCCCTTCATATTGCAAATGAACGAGAATTCAATGTCCAAAGTGAACAGATCTCTTCGATTAAGCTGTTCTCTCAGAAAAGTAAATTTGGTATAGCCATCACAGTTCTTTGTTCATTTCTGCAAACATTTTAGCTTCTCCAAGCAACACATTTTCTGTCACAGCATCCTGTGAGCATCTTAACGCATATCCAATCGAATGAATCACTTCACAATAAAAATTGATAACAGTTGTCACAAAACGTCAATTCAGTCCACCAGTAGCTGATAATATAAATGAAAATTGAACATTATTTTAAATGTTGAGACTCCTTGATCAGTAACGCTGAAAGAGTATCCGGTGGTAGACAATTCAATTAGTTTTGTTTGATTTGCACTGCTGCCTGTGTCACATCAGCTGGGTTGGACGCTTAAATCTTGAGAACATCCTCTCAGACAGCAGAGACAAATGATGATACTTGAAGGAGCAGACCAGTGGCAATCGGAAAATGCTGGCCCTTTTCTCATTCTGTAAAAGAGAGAAAAAAAACCATTGTAAACTTCGTTTCTCTTGTTTGCTTGTTTGTTTGTTTGTTGTTGTTGTTGGTGGTGGTGGTGGTGGTGGTGGTGGTGTAGTTTTGTTAATATTGTTGTTGTTGTTGATGTTGTGGGGCGGGGTATAACTTAAGTGTTTTTTAGTGTTCTTCCAGACTTAATGATATACTAAGAAGTGATATGTTTAGCTGGGACGCAGCTTATTTTCCGTTTAACTATACCCCCCCCCCCAATCCCTCTCTTATCTCTACAAAAAAATACATTTTAAAATGGACAGATACATTTTTGAAACTTGGAAAATCGTTAAATCAAAAGTCAAAACCTTCACGTGAAGGCTTAAAAGAGCCAACAAAGAGTGAAACAGAATCTGCAAAAAACCCAAAAAGATAGCTTTGACATTTTATATAACGCCACCATCTGCATGAATACCCGTGTAATCTTTCTTCACCTTTACAACAGAGAGTGATCTGACCTTCGAGAGGACACGGATACACTCCACATTAATTCATAACACCCTGAAGCTTTGAAGTTCGAATTAATGTCTTCTCTCGTACGTTCATCGTCACCACCGCAAAGGATTTCGAAATAATTGCCTTTCAGCTACGATGAATGTCAGACTAGACCATTTGCAAACATGACTCTCTGAGATGTCAAAGTTGATATTTACACAATATATATTGACACTGACACTTCAATACATTCGTGATGTAAACATTATTTTGATTTATATGAAAACAACCCGTTGACATTTGTTCATAGATCAATAGCGCTTTATAAGCACGTGTTTGTAGATCTTTCCCACTCCTATTTTGGATCACTTTGAAGGCTGGCTGCTTCGACTCTGTCTGCTAGTGCCAACCTGGAACGAAATGGGTATAATGTCCCAGATGACGGACAGATAAACAGGATCAGAAAACATCCCGACACGAGAATTAAACTCGCATCTTTTGTGCGACAGCGATAGGCGTTACCGTTACACCACAAACGCCGGTCACTGTGTTTTGCAAGAACAAGTCGAAAGTAAGATGGGTTATACTTTAAGAACGGTAAAAGGAAAAATGAGACTTTCAATTGTCAACTAGTACGACTAAAAGTCATTAAGTGATTGATTTGTATTTACAAACGCTTTTTTCGAAATGTAGTGGAGAGTCTAGAACTTCTGGGAGATACTAAAGATTAGGTTTGTGTCCCATACCCTTAGCCATAATGTCACGGATGGTGTATAGGGGAATGGTTCCCAGATGTTAAAGTTAGCGACTAAACAGTCACGAACCAAATAGGAGATTGTCGCCGAGAGTAAAGGTGAAACTTGATGGCACAGGTAACTCATATACATATATAATATATACATGTTTATTTACTTATACACGTACAAGCACACGCCTAATCACATACACACACAAACATACACACACACACACACACACACACACAAACGTACGCGCGCGCACGCACACACACACACACACACACACATACACACACACACACGCACACACACACACACACACATGCACATGCACGTGCACGCTCACTCACACACAGAAACGCATGCATACAGATACAATAGCAATTAATATATTAAGATACAAAAATATATATATATATTATATATATATATATATATATATATATATATATATATATATATATATATATATATATATATATATATATATATATATATATATATACAGAATCAAAATATGCTCAAGAAATGGAGAATGTAATTTTTATTTTACTGGAAAGCTGCATGGGGGGGGGGGGGGTTATGAAAATATGATGAGCAATGTAAACTTGAAAGTTCTTTTGGTGAATATGTTTCTTGAATACCAGAAGATAACTCCGTTTTCAATGGAAACATTTCAAACATTGAAACTTTTGAGTATCGTTCTGTGATCAAATGTCTTTATTTGCAAGTAGAATCACCAGCGGCAACTTTTGATTTAATTGTTGACAGTTTACCTAGATGAATGCTCCTCTTATGAAACTATTAAATACTGGGGAAAAATACTTTCAAATTGGGCTTGATATCCCACGAGAAGGGCGCCCCTAGGCAAGTGTGCAGTCTTCAAGTGGAAAGGTTACAGTGCCCCATTCTTTGAAACAGTACAGGTGTCATCAAAACAGACAACTTAGAGACTGTTATTTGACGTGCTTGATGAAACTAAATTTATAATCTACCTTGGTCAAGAAAAAACGAAGCTGCGGAAAGGAATCCTCCTGCTGCTTAGCAATGCTCCAGCATACAGAACATTAAAGGCAAGTCCGAGAGCACAGCAGTTTGTCTACGCAATTCTTTTACTTCCACCCTGTTCACTCGAACTGAAAAAAAGTTCTCGAAGGACAGCATTTCCATTGTAATATAGGTGTGCTATACCTGCAGTGGTGAAATAGTTCGAGTCCCATTTGAGGTCATTATGCTCAAGGGTTTTTGAAGGTCAAACAACGACGGTAACGGTGAGTCAGTTTGCCAGGATATTATGTAGAGAAGTTATTAGCATTGTGAATGTCAAGTTTCAACTTTCTAGATTTCTGCGAATTTCATAGAAGAAAAGAAATCAAAAAGTGTAGCACTAAAAGAGGCTCATATGGGTAGTTCGCTTAGAAAAACATAATTAGAAAAAGACAGGTGCAGTTTCTGGAACGCTTGAATCGACATAGAGATCGTGAATGTCTTGCTCTCGCTGAAAAGATAGAAGGCAATATAGCAGAGGTAGACCGAGACTAAATTACTAAGTGAACTTGAACAGATTGGTGACGCGAAAAGTCCAGGATTTTGAGAGATTCCAAGCTGGGAAATGAGTGGCAAACCATTCTGGTTCAGCTTGTCTGTTTCAGATCTGGCACTTGATGATGATGATGATGATGATGATGATGATGAGGATGATGATGATGATGATGATGATGATGATGATGATGATGATGATGATGATGAATCATGAAGGCAGACAGGGAATGTTTCCCGGGTAACATTTGAGGAAGTGTGCAAGGGAAGTCGTTGCCGCTATCCATTCTTTCAAACGACAAAGAAGGTGCTATGCTAAAAGCAAAACCATGTATTTATCAATAAATAATGCAATAGGCCCCTCTCACTTGATAAAAGAGAAACTTTTTCAATAACGAAACAGGCGCCCTCATAAAAGCAAATATACACCTCTGTTTTCATTCGTTTTCAAGACGCTGAAAAAACATTTGCTCGTGGACAAAGATGCAAATGTCATTTTGAAAAAGTTGCACCACCGAACGCTGTGCCCTCAGCCCACTTCCCTCCCTTTCACTCAAAGGGTATATCTGTGTCTGTGTGTGTGTGTGTGTGTGTGTGTGTGTGTGTATGTGTGTGTGTGTGTGTGTATGTGTGTGTGTGTGTGTGTATGTAAGAGAGAGAGAGAGAGAGAGAGAGAGAGAGAGAGAGAGAGAGAGAGAGAGTTTGTATTGTGTTGGGGGGGGGGGGGGGTACGGGTATATATCATAATATGGTGTTTCTGAGCAGAACTGTGTTGTGGTTGTAAAACTTTGAGGTCGACGTTGAACAAACTTATCAACAAAATCTTGATCACAGAACATTATGCTTGCAGTGCGGGACTGCAAAATGAATGCGTTCAATACATAAAACGCCTTATTTATTTAGTGAAGTGCATGATATAAAGATAAGAGTGTTTGCCATATCCCCAAAATGTTAACCTCTTTATTGCAGGTTTTTTTTGCTCCTGATGGGGATTGTATAATTCAATACTTGTTACTCGTTACTTGGGTGAAGGACCGACATCACTGCACTAGGGGAATCCCTATAAGCGCTCCGTCCCCTGAAGAAGCACATCTCGAAGTGTGTAGATGCTGACGGTTCCAAGCAATGTTTGATTCCATAGCCTTCTGCTCTTCCCACTAAGTCGTGATCTTCTGCTGGCGCCCCATCCAATTCAAAGCTCACGAAGTCGCTCAAGATGATGGTATTCCGACTCTTCTTGTACTTTTTTTCCGTTTTTCTCCTACTGAACACACAATATCAGGTTTGTCAGGGAACAGCTTTCCTTCAGGTTTTGCTTTCCCAGCGAGATCATCAGCCCGCTCATTGCCCTTGACTCTAGCATGGCCCGTGGTGATATTCAATAATGTCTTCATGATATATCCTTTAACATTCACGTCACTATATTTGTCATAAAATCAAAACAAGAGAACCTATTTTGATTATTCTCCATCTAATGAATGAACTCCCGGTAAAAGATACCTGTTTTCGGCAATTGCCAAAAACTAATGAAATGTAGATATCGGAGCCATCGTAAAGGTATGTGCCGCAGCCACTGCCACCGGCTCACTGGCACAGCGGTTCTAACCGCGAGTCATAAGCAGCGGCTTGCTGGACCATAAGGAGTTAAACGATTGACGGGTCAGCGTAAACATTTGGATTTTGCCCTCCAAGGCTTTGGAACAGAAGAATGCAAACGAGTTATCAGCATGTCATAGATCAGCTTGCACGTAATGAAAAAGAAGAGGGAAAGATCTCTTTTTCGTGTTTTGCCATCACTGAATGAATAGTTTCAAGATTAGATGCTTGGATTGCATTTTTTCTGCCTGGAACTACAGAAAAAACAACTAAAATATATGTCAAGCTCTTTGCATAGCAAAGAATTTCTTTTATTATACTACCCTGAACTAAATGTGCTACAAAGACAAAAATGACGAATTCAGATTTGAGATGCATAAACAGAATAATATGAGAAAACAAAAAGACTCCCAGGCTTGTGTATGGACATGCTATACCTATATTTACGTACGACTTCGGTTACCAAATGCATTTTATTCCATGAAGTGCGTAATGCCTAATAGCGGTACAGTGCACGTAACATAATGCACTATACAAGGAACCCAGACAAAAACGAGGAGGATATCGCTGAATAGACACAAACTAGCCCCTTTTCAAGATTACCATGAAATGGTTGATGCATAATATATATGACACAAAATGTACGCTAT